TATATTATAATTTTGGGAAAAATTATATATATTAGCGTGGAAAAATTATATATATTATAATTTTTCCACGCTTTAACCGCGTGAACATCTTCGTCGGTGACTGTCTTGTCTCAGACAATCTTAAAATAAGTTAGGATAAGAAGGAAGTGTTTAAATTGTCTTCAACAATTTTAAAAAAAGTTGAAATTATAAGTAGGAAATTTAATGACTATTGAAATTATTGATTAACAAAGGAACTCAAGCTAAATATTAACTTTCAAACGGAAATAAAAGCTAATCATTAAAGTAAACTATGCAATAAATAGTTATAAAAGCAAATTAGCAAAGGATAACTAACAAAGAATAAGCTAACAATTAATAACTAGCAAAAAATAAATAACTGCTACTAACTAATAAAAAATTAGTCGGAAGAAATAATTAATACCTTAATAAACGTGATTTTGTAGTACATATTATTTTATTTCACATTCAAAATTATTATCACAAACTATTTAACACAGTGTATTATAGATAAGTAAAAAACTTTTAAACTAATTTTTTTCATTTTGTGCCGTCAAATTTCGAAATCGTTAAAAGTGTGCCGCTACAAAAAAAAAGGTTGAGAATCACTGACTTAGATTGTAATTATGAGAATCTATACAAGATCCAACGCCTCTCGTATGCTTCTCCGATCATTTTTTTAATGTTTTATATCTATCTTGTTTGAAATTTATTTTAAAAATTGATAAAAGTAGCTTTCATGTGTAAAGAAAGATGCATCATTTTTAGAATAATTAAAGATGGACTTGCATGTGTACAAAAATATGCAGATGAATGCGGAACTGAAATGATTGCAGAAGACTACAATGATCAAATAAAGAGACCAGCAGATTTCCTCGCCAAGATTTGTGATCCCACATCTCCTATCAGAAGAGGTAAATCAATACTTTATTATTACTGGAATTCAATTATTATTATTTATTAACCTAAAATAACTTTAATTGATATAAATATACAGGATGTTTATAAAGTCCCGGACACATTTTGATGTTTAATAACTCATGAAATAATAAAGATAGATTGAAATTAATAACATAAATGGTTAGATAGACTCAAAAAGTTTCATAACCCTTGTCAATGAACTTCCACGTGTGCCCCCTTCGTCACACGGTGAATATCAAGTCGATAGTCAATTTCACGCCAGGTAGCGGCAAGCATGTCGACATCCACAGAGGCTATTGCAGTTGTAATTCTGGCTTTTAGGTCATCAATGTTCGACACGAACCTCCTGTAAACATTGCCTTTATAAATCCTCAAAGAAAAAAGTCCAGCGACGTTATATCATGTGATCTGGGTGGCCAAGGAATTGGACCTCCTCGCCCAATCCATCTTCCTGGAAAATGGTCATTCAAGGAACTACGAACGATGATACCCTAATGAGGTGGGGCACCACCTTGTTGCAAAAAGACATGTGGCTGAAGCTCTTCTAGTTGTGGAAATAAGAAGTTTTCCAACATGTCTGAGTATACGACTGATGAGACCGTCTTTTCTGTAAAAAAGAAAGGCCCAATGACTCGTTCGTGCATTAGTCCACACCACACATTAACCTTTGGGGAATCCCTTTGTGTCTCACGGTATTCATGGGGTTTTTCAGATCCCCATATGCGCACATTATGGCTATTAACAATGCCAGAAACATGAAAGGATGCTTCGTCGGTGAACATTATGCGCTTCAGAAAATCAGCAGCATCTTCTATCCTTCCTACCATATCTGTTGTAAACCTCTAAAAAAGAAAAGGACACACGTGGAAGCTCATTGACAAGGGTCATGAAACTTTTTAAGTCTAACTAACCATTTATGTTATTAATTTTAATCTATCTTTATTATTTTATGAGTTATCAAACATCAAAATGGGTCCGGGACTTTATAAACACCCTGTATATTTAAATTGTCAAATAAGTACCGTACTTCAACAACGTTAGAAATATTAAGTAAATAATCGCAAGAAACTGATATATTATTTGATTAAAGCATTCACTCGTCTCTAAAATATACAGAATGGAAATAACAGACGACATGTTTCAAGCGCTCAAAAATAGACGCCCATTTTCGAGACTTGTCAGACGTCTAAGCAACTGTAGGTGGCAATGATAAAATATTCATAAAATGATAAATATTTCATAAAATTGGGACGGGTGTAGCTCGATCTCCAAACTGTATAATCTGAAAGAGACGAGAAAAGTTTAACGATTATTTATGAGTGTAGCAATGATAAAATGATTAAAACCAAACAAATTTGAGAAATGAATTTTTTTTTATTTTTTTTATTTAATTTTTTTTTTTACAAAATGGCTTTTATTGGATTGAGCGATGACGAAAATCAACTTTTTTAGGATTAAAACGACATAGAATATTTTTCTTGGTTCCAACCACAGTAACATCAGTTCTCTATAAATTTCGCCAGCGACATCAAAAGCAATTGACTAATTTTTTTGTAATCCAAACGGCAAAAAAAAAAAAAAAAAAATGCTTTTTGAGAAATCCTGGTTAAAGTTTTTATAACGTTCCTCTTTGCTTTGGAATTTACCATCAATCGCGATGCTTGGGCAATACTGCACGTCTTTCTCGAATTCATAAATTTAAAAGGAATAATTCAGTGAAGTAAACCTAAAACTTAAAGTGGCTTTCTGGTCTAGAACTCTGATTTAAACCTCAATTTGTACAATTTTTTCCAGAGAAATTAAAAGATAAGTTATATAATGTTTTCCTGAGTTTTTGTCATCACCTTTTAGTAACTGATTGCATTTTTTTTCTGATGCCAACACGGAGCTGTCGTTCCGACTATCACAATCTTTTTATGAAGCTACAATGCAACTAAAACATAATAAGACGAAATTGTTCTCGTTAGTATCCTTCTTTAATAAGTATTATAAGTTCGTTCAGTTCTTTACTACATGAATATTAAAATCTGGTAGAAACAAAAATATAAATAATGGATACTATAATTAATATTGTGTATTTTCAATTTATATTAGCAATAATTTTAATTATATCATGAATTATATAAAAAAATACAATAATAATATACAAAATAATAATACTTTAAAAAAATATAAGAAAATCAAAATATTCTGTTCCTAAACTTTCGCAAGAAATAATTTTAATGGAAAACAAAGCTTATTAAGGTATGCAAAACTACTGCAAAAACATGATTTTAGGCAAAATGTTCGAAATTGACTTTATTATAAATTTAGAATTCTTGTACTCTTAGCTTTTTAAAAATACTTTGCTTTTGTTTTCACTGTAATTATTTACAAAGTTATAGCAGTTTTTGTGTAAGGTGATAACAGTGGATAGGCAAATGATTTAAAGTCTTTAAATGCGTTTATCTCAAAATCAGATTTTTTCGCATTTTACACCATCTTAAACACGATATCTCATGTTGTTTTTAAAATTATTGTCTAAACTTTTTCACGAGTGTTTACGATTATAGAACACATGTTTTGAACTACAAACTTAGAGAAAAGAGTAGAATTTTATTTTTCATGCATGTTTTTTAACAAAGACAAAAATTTTCTTTTTTTATATATGCATTTAGTGTATGCATTTGCAGTTGCCAGCTTTCTAAATAAAATCTTCAAAGGATTTTTTGTTTTAGGCGATAGAATTTTTGTACGAGTGTTTCCCGAGTTATGCAAAAAATTGGGTATTTTTACATAAAAATGGCCATTTAAAGCAATAATAATATTAATAATTTTTTGCTAGTTTCATAAATTTTTACACATAATAAAACAAATAAACTAGTTTTTAAAATTTTATATCACTATTAAAAAGAAAAATTCGAAATTAGTCGGATACTAAAAATAGTTATTTTTTAATTGATTCATAAAAAATGCTATACAGGGAATAGAATATGGAACAATGTATCGAATAATTCGGGAGAATAGAGATTTGCCGCCACATAAGTATTATTTTATTAAAATTTTCAATGACCATTTTCCACGGATGTAGTTTACTTTTCCTCAATCGGCACTCGATTTCATATTTCAAAACGTAAGTAACAATGGGCTTATTGGCAATATAAAATACGATATAAAATTATGATATAAACAATTTCTAATTACGAAAAAGATTAACAGCGTTAAATTACATGATCTATTCGGCAAATTCTGATCTCTCAAATGGATAATACGTCCTGAAACAGTAACGACACGTTTCTCTAAATATGACTAAATTAAAACGCCTTGTGGTTTTTTGAAGCTTTCCATTTCTAATTACCCTGAACTACCAGCTGTACTCCAGCTGTGCTTTTTTCAGCTGGCAACTTATTATAGCACAGATGGCGCAAAATTCAAATTTCGTTACAACTTTTAGTTCTTCTGTCTTTTAAAGACTAAAAAAAAAAAACTTTTAAATACAGTTTGTAGATGTTGAACTAATTTTTAGTATTTTACCTTTTAATTATTTTTAAAAAAAACTAAAGCAGATTATGAGATTTTAAATAGAAACTAGTTTTTCTATATACTTGAATAGTATAATAGTATTGTTTTAGTACCAAGATTATACTTCTTATAAAACATATAAAGGAAATTATATTTAACGTTATTGAGTTCATTTGTGTGCTTATGCTGATTATTTGTTATGCTCAATCATGGCTAAGCATTCCAAGTTTCTGCTTCATAAAATGTAGTCGATTTTAACATATTTGCTGCAATTGAAAATAAAAAGCAATTACTAAAATGTGCCAATTCTTTCTTTCCCTTTCTTAAGTCAAATATGAGATTTACAACAGACGCTAGTCTTTCTATATACTTGAATAGTATAATAATATTGTTTTAGTATTAAGATTATATTTCTTATAAAACATATTAAAAAATATATATTTAACGCTATTGAGATCACTTGTGCGATTACAGTGGTTATTTGTTATGCTTAATTACGTTTTTTTTCCCAGAGTATTTGAAGGCATCGCCCTGCTTACTAGAACATGCCGAAGATTTCGAAATATGCTCCACTAAAGTTCAAGAATTTCTCGCTGAATTTGCAGCTGATACTAGCGACAAAGAACATACGCTGACATGCATGTAAGTTTACATGTTTTAAACCATTCAAAAAAGATACAAAATTATAAATATAAAGATTATCATGCTTACCACATTATAAATGGCATTCTAAATATCTTCTTTATGAATGAAAAAAAATTTAAATATTAATCAAATTAACTAAAAAAATTAGTTAATTTACGAAAATAAATTATTATTTGAGATTTTCTATGCAATAAAAATGCATTTATCCATACAGTAACAATATGTAATCTTCTACATAGAAAATTTTTAGTTTTACACGTTGTATAGAGTTTCTACACAAATTTTAATAGTGATTTTTCTTAAACTTATGATAGTTGTTGTTCAACCCTATTACGCATGAGGTCAAAAAAGATAATAATAATAATAAATTACACTGTGAATAAATTTAAACCAAGTAATCAGATATTCATCGAAATTCCCCTGTTGTCTGTATAACTTTGAATTTGAATTTTTTCTGAAAAATATAGCAAAGAAACTGTATTTGAACTCAGTAAATTAATTCTATATGCCTCTACCAAGTTTAGAAATTATTGTTACTTCTCCAGCTAATAGAGCAGTGCAATACGGAACAAATAAATTGAGACTTTTAAACTTTTGCATTTTTGCTGATTCGTGTCACTACTTAATTTTTAATATAAAAAATGGTTTAAGGTAACTTAACTAATGCAAATAATTCTTCGATACAAATAAAAAAAAATTTTTTAAAAATATATATTCCATTTTGAAAATTTGATTTGAGTAAAAAATTATATCTAGGCAAAAAAGAGATAAAAATAAACTTGAAACTTAAATAAGCGTGGGTATTCATGATGTCTGAAAATGTATGGAAAAAGCAGAGCTTCATTTTTTTTTTGTGTGAAAAAAAAACAACCTAAAATACAAGGAAGGAGTTAAAAAGAAAACCAGTATTTGAAAACCCTCACATTTTCTCAGCAAATGATAAGCACAGAATACCATCTTAGCACGAAAAGATAATCTTTGGAGTTCTGAACAATTTGCTTCTCACCTTCCCCAGCTTGAAACACTTTACCTTTGCTGCTTTTTGATGCAGCAAAATACTGCTAGTCCTAGACGATGTTTGGATCCGTTCGGTCAGTAGTCCATTCACCCAGCTGTCAAGTTTCTACCAGAGTGTCTGAGGCGGCCAGTAAACCATTCACCCAGCTTTCAAATTGCTATGGTTGGATACGGTGGATGTGACAAGGGTGAATCTACTTATCTGCTAGGCAAATCTGATCCCAAATCATGTTCCCTTTCTTAAAATAAAGATTATCTTGAATGAATGAGATTATAATGATTATTTTACTCCCCATGAGATTAATGGGGCTGTAATGAAATAGGCGAAAGGAATAATAGGCGAATTTTCCATCAAATCATCAAGACAAACCACAAAATGGCTGGATTTCAGAATAGAAATCATAATGAAAATTTTGATCATGTACCTCTACACCGCTACATGTACCCGTTGTTTATATCCACCGTATCCAACCTTCCAGAAAGTTTGTATTATTTGCAAAATAGTTACCCCCTTACGTCCGACTAAAACACTTCCGGGTTTATTCAACCACATCATTTAATAGAAAAGAGGCTTAACTTATTTAAAACGCCTTGTAAAACCTGTTTTAACAATCGAAAAAAATAGTGGTAATTAGGTGTTGCATCCACCTAAAATAAGTCTTTAAGTAACTAGAAGTAACAGAATTAAATTGACGGAATGAAAATCATAACTTTCATAATCAGATTTTAAAAAGTGCTGCAGTCGACAAACAACTGATTCTGTTTTCATTCAGCTGGATGATTGTTGTTGTTCATTCACTGGGAAACATCCCTTAGGATGATCCGAAGAAATACCATCACAATTTTGATCCTCTATAGAGGGGATGGCAACCCAGCTTCAGTAACTCGACGACCCGCACGCGAAGTCGAGCACTTTACGGTAGAACAGTTTAAGGAGGACCGATAACGTACTCCCTCGGTCCCTTCCTAGACTAATCCCAGTAGTCTCCCACCAACGCACTGACCGCAGCCAGTGATGCTTGACTTCAGTGTTCTCCTGGGAGCCGTGTTTTAACGATCAACCCACTGCTGGACTCAATTAGATGAATAAATAGCATGATTCCAAATAGCATGACGTCTGTCAACAACTAGTTTCATGTGACTTCTCTTAAGTGGATGCAATAGTTAAGTCAAAAATATCATAGGTCCGGTCCTACCTACCTGCATGATTTTGTCCAACTATTCCCTACTATTAAATATTATTCATCTTAAAAATATCTATTTAGTTTTTGAAAACACATCACTAATTTAAAATTACGTAATTTAACAAGATTAAACAAAATGCATACTTTATAAGCCAAAATAATGTTTTCGATTATTATGCAAAGTAACTAAGAAAAGTACGAAAAAAATATTCATGAAATTAAATGAGATATTTTTATTTCGTATGCACAGTTTTTATATTCTAATTTAATTTTCGAAGTACGATGAAAAACTCAAAAATATTTAATTATACAATGCAGGGTTTAAGGACAGGACTCGCTACAGGGTTTAAGGAGAATTTTCCTAAACTCTACAGGCCTTACAGCCTAAATACGCTCGCAGAATATTTTTTTTTTTAATCAAGAATTGTTAAAAAAATTTAACATTAAAACAAAAACAAAATAAAAAAAATATTTAAAGTTTTTAAAAAAATTAGAAGGATGCTAATTAAGGAAATCACGTTATATTTCCACAGTGGTGAGGTGACCCTTAAACATATTTAGACAAAAATTAGGTTTTGAATGCATCGAAGTTAGCTCCCCCCCCCCCAAAAAAAAACAACATTTGTTGCCCTTTAAACATTTTTAGATAGAAATTACGTTTCGAATGTATCGAAATTTATATTTTTTGATACTCAGTGTTTTGATACTCAGCGAAAATCACTGGAGGTTCATTAAAAAATGATAAGAGATACGGTTCAGAGAAATACATGGTTCACTGTGCTCGAATTAAGAAGCCAGATTTTTTTTTTTTTTTCAAATTTCAAAGTTAGTTATAAAGCCAATTAACAAATGAAGCTGCTTCCTGAAAAAACTGTAAAACAATGCTTTCTGTTGAATGTCAAACGATTCCATCTGAAATGTTTGGACAAGCTTTTGTAAACGTTGTTTTAAGACTGCAATATATTGTGGATAATATTTATGGTTATTTTGAAAACATTGTGCTATTTCTTTTCTCAGTTATCATCGCCATCTGTTGACGAACTTAATAACATATTGTTAAACTTGCATTTTTATTTTCTTTTTGTCATCGATTTTTGAAAAAAGAAATGTAATCATTTTCGTAGCACTTGGCATATTTTTTAGCATATTTTCATTAAAAAAATGTTTATAACAGACTGATAATAAAAAATCATAATTTTTTCTTCTAAAATCCATAATCTTCATTCCTGCTAGCCTGACGTTAATTATATCTTAACTAGTAATTACGTTAAGAGTATTTAAACGTGTAGTGAATGTAAAATGTACCCTAAAGAATAATGATGTTGTGACGTAACTACCACTATAAATATTAAATACCAAATCACTAGTATATATGATATGTTTACTTGATTCTATCTAGAGGTACCTTTTGGTAGATGATGGTTGACATGGTCGATTTATAATTCCCTTCATTGGCGACCTGTGGACGTGATATGCACTCGGTAACATGATGGATGGTCCACATTAAAACAGTTGATTTGCTTAATATAAACTGCTCAAAGATTAAAAAAAATGATCCGGCGAATTAAATAAAGTCTCCCGGTAATAAACAATATAGAAAAAAATGAGCGAAATGCTATAAACAAAAAATAAAGGGAAAAAATATAATGAACAAAATTGATCTAAATATATTAACAGCGTGAATCAACTAGTGGTAATCGTTCATCGAATTCTATCACAGATAAAATTCTGGAAGGGGAGTAAAGTGGCGTAACTACCACTATAAATATTAAAAACCAAATCACTAGTATATGAGACATTTTAACTTGATTCTAACTAGAGGTACCTTTTGTGTAGATGATGGTTGACATGGCCTATAATTAAATCCCTTCAATGTTAAATGTATCCTAAAGGGTGCCCATGTTATATGTGCCTTTTTATAGTTTTGAGATGATGTTGAGAGCATGCCTCATGAGCACAGGAGTTGAAAAGTGTGGAATGCAAACAGCGACATTCGTTCGAAAAGCTTTGCTCTATTCACCATCCACAGGACTCAAGACTTGTAACAACGAAGAATGAGCATTTGTCATTCCCATTCCTTTTGTACCTGTTTATCAATAAAATGTTTCCATTACTATACACGGGTGATTATTTTTCGTCAATGTTGCTACCAATTGTTCGTAGTCAAATTTATAAACCCCAATCCCAAAAATCATTTAAAATTTTCAACCACGTCGTTGGAGTTAGATATTTAATAAATGTAATTTTCTCATTGGTTTAAAACTAGCTATTGTTATAAACAACGAAATATTTGAGAAATTTCCAATCTGCTCGAGCATATGATAAGTACAACGAATTTTATTTCTTCTTCAAATCATGCCAAAATGGCAATATGGCTAAACGGTTTCAGCGCAATCATGAACGTAGTACACATTTGAAGACGATCCTCTTTGGAATCATCACGACGATTTTCTTAAAGTTTTTGTTGGCCCAATTGTCAACAAAGCCTGTAGCAACACTTAACGAAAACATTTATTCAATTAAATAAGTGTGAATAGTTGACATTCCGTGGTACATTAATGTACCGTCAATTAATTTAATGTACAATACAATTATTTTGTTTCTCTGTCATATTTTACTTACTTTCGCACGATTATATTTGTAGCCTGAATAAATGAATAATAATATTTTGTGATTTATTGCTTCAAAGTTGAGTTTTTATGCTTCATTTCTACGAAAATTATTGAATTAAGATTGGATATCGTGAATTTATAATATGGTTTCGAAGTTTTTTCATATTACACATTTATTTAAAAACTATTTTTCATATGTAAAAACTATTTTTCATATTGCGCATTTATGTAATTTTCTAATCAGCTCCAAATCTTTTATTTTACATTTTAGTTCTATAATACGTATAAAGTATTTTTATCATATTTTGATAAGGTTAATCAGCTTTAATTCCACTCACTAACTGCTATTATTCTCAATTTTTTCATGTATTATTGAAATTTAAAAAAAGGAGCCGATGATTTTAATTTAAAAATGTTTGACTATGTCATCAGAGAACTTATAATTAAGTTCACCGGACAAAAAATTAGTCACCCTAGTGGGCAAGCACCGATGAATCGTTAGGTTTCGTTAGATGACGCAGTGGTCAAGTGACGTGCTCAACTGCGGGCACACTGTTTCAACGTGATCAAAGGCGAGTAGCTATCAGTGAGATATTTTTGTCTGAAGCGGAAATTACGTGTAAATATTGCTAAGTGTAAGAATGTGATAGAGTAGCATAAAAAGGGCAATTGTGCTTGGCTGTACCCATGGTCATACGGTGAATGAAGTTGCTGGATTTGTTGATGTTTCAATGCGGACTGTTCAACGTAATACACGTGGTCACGAAAGACGACGTCAGAATTGTGACCGGAAAAAGATCCCACATGAAAGGGATCGGAGACACGTTTCACGACTTTGTCAATCAAAATCGCTTCCAAATCAAACAGGAATTGCTTCAGTTAATAAATTAAGGTCTATTCCAACCTGTTAGTGGGAGAGAATTGGGACGAGAGCTGCATGTAATTAACATTTGGAGTCGAACGTCTCATAAGAGACCATTTCTCATACAGGCACATAAAGCTGCGCAACTTCAGTGGGCCAGAAGCCACCGAACGTGGACAGTTGCTGACTGGCGGAATGTAATATGGTCTGACAAATCACGTTTTTACCTTTATTCAAAGATTCACGTCGTCGAGTGCAACGAAGAGCAGATAAAGCATTTCCTTTTGACTGTGTGCAAGATCAAGTTCAAGTCGAAGGTGGGTCTGTCATGATTTGGGAGCGTTTTTTTATTATGGATTGGGCCCCCTCTTTGAGCTGGCCCCTACTATGAACCAACATATTTGTTTGATAATTAGATGTTGCCTTTCAGTCAATATCTTCATGAAGAGTATGTTTTCGATACCCCTATCTTTCAAGATGACAACAGCAAACTTCATTGGGCTGGAAGAATATGCGACTGATTTTATGAACGCTCAGACACTCAATTACATCTCGACTGGCCTGCAAATTTACCTGACTTCAACCCCAACGAAAATTTGTGGGACATGTTGGAACAACGGGTAAAGCGACGAAATGAGCATCCTCGCTATTTGGTGTATTTGTGCAATCAAATCCTCAGCGAGTGGTTTAAACTGGATTCGACGTTCCTGCAAAACCTTGTGGACTTTCTTCCTAAGCGAATTCAGGCTGTTATAGAATCCAGAGACTGTGTTACACGCTATTAAATGATGTTTTTCGTGAGTTCGCTAAGAGTGACTAATTTTTCGTCCGGTGTGCTAATTATAAAAACGTTGTCATATTTATCGAAGAGTTTGGTAATCTTTCAAAACCCAATTTTTCTTAGAGCAAAGGTTTTTAATTAACTAAATTAATTTAAAGCAGTTTTCTAGAATTAAAACAATATTGAGAAATTTATTCTTTCAAAATCATTATAGAGAGTAGAAAGAAACAAAGAAGGAGAGAAACAACATTGTCGCCCAAACTTCGCCTACTGCATTTTGGCACTAAGATTTAAAATATTATTCTTCGATTATTAATAATTCTACATTATCATATCTTTATGGTTAAATTGAGTTCTTATTCCTTTACCAGTAAGATAGTTTCAAAAGTATAAATGTGAATTTTAGAATGAATAAAAGGGAATTATTTGTATGCAATTTTTTTCATTCTAAAATCCTAAGCGTTTCAAAACGTAATTTGCTTTAATGTGATATTTTAAGGAAAAGCAGAACATTCTAAAAATTTATATGTAGATATGTAAGCTTTAAAATATTTTTACGTAAGAAAATCGTCAAATCTCATATTTATCACTGGCAAGTTCTAAATACATCTCGTCAGTAATCTCTAAAATATACATCTGAAAAATGTATTTGTACGAATTATTTGTACGAATAATATATATCTGAAAAATATTTCAACAGATAAAAATCAACTGTTAAAATTCTAAAAAATTTGCTTAACATTTTTTGTTGTTGTTTATTTTACATATGTAAATATTTGTTACATGAATGAGTGGCTAAAAACTGTTCACAGCTGACAGAAATGATTTTATAAACAAAGTAATGACATATTTTGTTGATATTTTATTTTACAAATGAATGAATATACACAATGCAGTTCATGATCATATAACTATGAAAATAGATAAGATTACAAAATTGATGGACGAATTTAAATCATATATCTAGATATGAGCACTTAGCATTTTGTAAATCTTGAATTGCTCTTGTCATGAGAATATCAAAATGATCTGCTGCAGCATCACCACAATTCTCTCGAGTTTTAGTGGTTGCACAATCTTTGAACAAACGATACAACCTAGAGTCCAATAGAAAATTAAAATAAATTGAACTTTCAGTGTATTCTATGTAAATCAAATATCCATATATGAGCATTTAGCATTTTGTAAATCATAAATTGCTGTTGTCACGAGAGTAACAAAATGATCTGCAGTTTTAGTGCACAATTCTTTCGAGTTTCAGTGATCGAACAATCTTTGAACAAACTATACAATCTAGCGTCAAATAGAAATGAAAATCATAAAAGGAACTTGCACTGAATTCAATGTAATATCAATGTTTGGTACATATACACTATTTTTTCTTTAAAAAAATATGTTCTTTAACGATTTAGAGTTAAGAGTAAGGTCTTCGAAAATATATAAGAAAGGAAGAGATGTAAGTTGTTTTGTAAAGATAGCTCTTAAAATACAATTTTACGATCTTTGAAAAAGAATTTTCTGAAAACTGTTTACAATAGGAGTTACAAATTCCTATTTTAGTCATAAAAAGCAAAATCTTATTTTACATTTAAACCAACCACTTTCAATATCATTAGGAGCAAAGGATTAAAATAATTTAAACCCAACTGTTTATTGGTGAAGGATGTTTAAAAATGGTTTTGGGGTAAAAATGGATGTATTCCAGACTTAAATTTTCGAGCATATATATGTTACGGTGAAACACCGAAATCTGGAGAATGTCGCCATTCACCGGTGAATGTCAACATTCACGTAGTCGCTTGGTGTATGTCCGAAATATTTGCTAAATACCCTTATTTCTGACTCTCACCGGTGAATGTCAACAATCACATAGTCGCTTTGGTGAATGTCCGAAATATTTGTTATATCCAATTTTATATTAAGGTGGGACCTTGAAATCATAAAATTTTCAAAAAAAATTTTTTTTGTTAAAAATATAAAGATAGTCAGCCTGAATCACGTGTTGTTCAAATTTTTTCGATACGATGATTTTTTATGATTTTATAGCTATTTTTCTGAAAAGTGGGCGTGGCACTTTTGACGTTCCATAAGCTGTCTGTTTGTTTACATTGTAGTTATCAAGCTTATTTTGAATTTTTTTTATGTTCAAATCAATATTTCTATAAAATATTTTTTAATTAGTATAGCATATAAATTAATTAATTTATAAAAAACATTAATAAATTAATTAATTAATATAGCATTAGTATATAAATTTTCTAGCATGTTATCGAAATTCTGCAATATGCTTTTCCTATGTCAATGTCAATAATTTTTTTATTTATCTGGTATCAAATATATTATTTGTTTTATTAAAATTATAGAGAATAATGTTTTTAGTGTAATTTTTATGCACACAAAAATAATCTTTTTTCTTTGTTTCAAGGTTACANGGGGCAAATCCGTTTCTAAAATTATTTGCTAAAAAGATTTCTTTGTTAATTTATGTAATTCTTCCATGTGCAAAGCAATTTCGGGCAAATCCGTGGCTAAAATTATGTGCAAAACTGGCAATTCATGTTTCGTTCTCTTTTTTATTTTATACTTTTTTCTTAAATAAATATTTATTTTCTACAATTATTTATAGTCAACTTCTTTAAATTATCCAGTACAATATTACCTTGCGCACATCCATTTTCGGGCCCATCCTTGGTAACTAACAAATCAAACGCACTTCAGTAATGCAGTAAGAACGCACTTCAGAACAAAACTTCTCTAGTTACGCTCAATTTGCGCTTCTGTTTTCATATTTTGCAATCTGGCAATCTTATTGCGAAAATATTTTGAATCATTCTTGAAAAATTTCTCGTTCATGTAAGTTCATTTGAATTCGCTACTCGCTTTATAGATTATGTTTTAAGTTTTATTCTGTTTTTTTTCTGTATATTTTATTTTCTGTTTTTACGTGTTTTTTTTACTTATTGTGCTCTATTTTATTTGTTGTAATTTTTGTAAAACTTTTTTGAGAGCTCCTCACACTATTGTATTGATATATTTTGCTTTGGCTATATTGATACAATATTAGAAAGCACTCTTTTTTGCAGATATAATCGTGTGGGCTGATGAAAAGATTATATCTTTTATTTTCCGGATTTGTAAAAAAATGTTATCCTTTTTTTCGGATTTTTTTTTTAAATTATTATTTTTACTTATTTTTTCCCCCAGTTTTTTGTTATTTTTATTTCTATTATTATTTTTCTTTTTCCCCCTTTATTCATGTCTGTAATTTTCCTTTGTTTTATCTTCATTTTGAACTTATTTTACGAGTTACTTGCAGCTTATGCGCAATAAATGAAACTTATTGTTTTTCTTAACTTTCTTCGTGTTTTTTTTTATTTATTTATTTTGCTATATATATATATATATATATATATATATAAATCCGAAAAAAAAAGTAATAAAAATTAGGGGAAAAAAGATATAATCTTTTCATCAGTTCACACGATTATTTCCGCAAAAAGGAGTGCTTTCTAATATTGTATCAATATAGCCAAAGCAAAATATATCAGTACAATAGTGTGAGAAGCACTAAAAAAATAATTTTGAATTATGTTTTTTCTACGTTTTGAACTTACGAATATATTTTTAAAGTTCTTAGTTACGAATATATTTTTAAATGATTTTTGCTGGAATTTCGAATGTACAGAACATGCTTCTTCCCCTGTCTTTATATGTCTCTATTTGTGTTTATCTTGTATTTTTCTAGTATTGTGATTTTTACTTGATAAAATTTTTTTACATATCGGTTTCCTTCTTTCTTTTTTCTTTGATGCTCTTCCACACTGTTGTATAGATATAATTTGCTTTGGTTTTTATTAATACAATATTTGAAAACACAATTTTTGTGAATATAATCGGGTGAGCTGAAGATGATATTTATGTATTTTAAATTTTATTTTTCTTACTTTAATTAATTTTTATTTTTTTCTAACTTTTAATAATATTTATAGTTTTTTTTAAAGTTTTTTTGTTTTATTTTATTAGGCTTCTAGAAATATATATTAAGAGTTGAGATTACAGAACATCCTGCAAATTGAACTTGGTAGATTAAAAACCAATTGACAGGTTTAAATGTAATGTTGTATTTAATTATAATGATTCCTGCTAAATGACATATGCTTAAATATGACCCGTCGTAAAATTTATTTACTCGATAAGAATAATAAATAGAATCATTTAACAAAGTTTAAAACAATGCTATGTTTCTTTACACGTTAAAAAGCTTTATTATTATCACATCATTCTAAATTTTGAACTTTTAGTGAAATGAGATGGCATGATATTAAAAAAAAATTAACAAATAAATCTTTATAATGCAGCTAAAATATAACAATTCGGTTTTGGAGAAAACCATAGAGGAAACGAATGGGTAGAAATTTGAAAGGATATTCAGACTTGAATGAAATTAGTGATAAAAAAAAGTTATGCATTGCTCTCAAAATTTGGAACATATCAATTGCATTGAAATACAGTTATTGTAGTTCAACACTCGATTTTTCTTTATTAATTATTCCTCGTTTTTTTTCAAAGAAACTCTTTTTGCAAGTTTTGGTGATTATTTAAGAGAATACAATTTTACGTATAAAAGATGAATTTTTAGGGGGATTTCTCTCTCTAAACTTAAGTCCTTTATCTCAAATGCAAAAGAATGATTAAAGTTAAATTTAAAAATAATAATAAATCACCGCACAAATATTTAGTACAATTATAAGTAGTGTCACTTCTGTCGGCATTTTTTCTACGATTGTTTCAAAAATTCCAAACTACTTCTTGAGCACTTTTTCTATTCACAGATCTTACGTGTGATATCATTTTAACACAACTTATCATTGAAAATTTTTATCTACTAGTCAGAGAATAAGGCATTAAGACTCATTTTAGCAAACAACTATAAATCTGTGTTAATACTCAATGAGTCATGGTTGCTTTTAAGTAGATTTATTGAAAACAGAATAGTTTTTGATGTTCAACTGCAAAATTATTGTTTAGAGAAATTACTATAAATCTGTGTTAATACTCAATGTGTTAATACTCAACAATTAAATTGCCAAAGGCATGAATAATTGTTGAATTTGCCAACAATGAAAAAGTTAAAATAATTCCCACAATCATCAGAAGAAGATGTGTTAATCTGTGTTAATACTCAACAAATAAGTTGCCAAAGCAAGAATAATTGTTGAATTTGCCAACAATGGAAAAGTTAAAAATAATTCCCACAATCATCAGAAGAAGATGTGTTAATCTGTGTTAATACTCAACAAATAAGTTGCCAAAAGCAAGAATAATTGTTGAATTTGCCAACAATGAAAAAGTTAAAAATAATTCCCTCAATCATCAGAAGAAGATGTCTGATTGGTTATTCCTTAGCCAATATTTCAAATTTAACTGTAGACAGCGAAATTTTTCAAATATTTTAAAAATAACAACAGTGATATTTCCCAGCTTATAGCTCTATTTTATCAAACATTTATTGCACATATTTTAATAATTAATTATTTTTTATTCTATATGTCAGACAAATTTAATGAACAACACTAATGTGGTAGCATTCTAAAATTATCTGATACCACGTGTTCATTTGACCCATAGTAGTTCTATTGAAATATGCTTCAATAAAAGTAAATAATTTAAAATCAACGGTAATTGAAGTGAAAATAATCAGTTATGTACTAAAAAGGCAAAATTATTGGAAAATGGTACTAATTCGTTTTGAAGAAATGTAAAAAATTATACTATTATTGACGCCAGAGATTCTTAATTAATTTAGGTAATATATGCATATTGAAATAAACGAAATAAGCTATGCACTAAAAGGTAAATTTAATGGAGTAAAGGACTTGTTCGTTTAGAGGAACAGTAAAATATTACCATACTATTATTGACAACAAGGATGCTTAATTAATGTAAATAATATGCATTAATTGAAATTTTAAAAAAAAATATATCAACTAAAATGCAAAATAAATGGAAAAAAGAAATGCTTATTAGCTTTGGGGATATTATTCGCTATATTATTCTAGTGCTTAATTAATTTTAGTAATACTTATTGATTGAAATAAAAAAAAGTAAGCTACGTGCTAAAAAAGAAAATCAATGATGGAGAAGAAGTTAATGAGAAATTCGCTTGGGGGAACCGCAAAAAATCACCATATGCAGACGGTGCTTAATTAATTTTGGAACTATGTACTGCTGGTATTGCGGTAATTGGTGCAGTTTTAATAAAATTCTACAATGGGCTTTCCGTAATTACAAAAAATATTTCTCCAATATTATTCAAACCTAGTGTTTGAATATTTAAAGAATTAGAATTGAAAGAATTTTTTCACCAATATTTATACATATTTTAAACAGTAAATTAAAGGTTAGATAAAAAAAAATGATCATACTCTAAAGTTCTTATCAACGTCTTGTTAGAATTCTATTTATTTTTAAAATTTCAGTTTTAGTTTGCTGCCATTGAAAAATGAATTTTGCGCCACACTCAAGTGTTTTAGAGTTATTTAAAAAGTACCGAATGTACAAACATAAGTATAAAATATCATACTGATATATTTGGCGATTATTAAAAGTTCATCAATACTTCAATAATGCGGAAATAAGTGTCTTACGGCCTCTGGAAATGGATATGTACCGGAAAAGATTATTTGATAGTGATGATATCATGAGTTGATCACGAGCAATATCATCAATCCAAGTGGTGCTAAATACAGTTAATCTAAATTCAGATAGGATGAGCAACAAAAAGCGTGTTTTCTTCTTATAATAACGTAAAGCAACCGGGAGGAGCCACAAGTAATAATAAATTTAAAAAAAGGACATTATTTTAGCTTAATTGAAGAGCTTAGTGAAAAAACTAGGTAAGTGACATTTTCAGAGAGGCATGGTAAGAAGTGTAATCAGGGTTCAGTTTGTTGCTTTTCAGATAATCAGGGTACGATGGAAGAAATTGGTTTCCGAACTATTTTATTACCGATTTATTTGAAGGAAAACTAACAATTCTTTGTTTTGGTTTATTAACCACTGTCTAATTTGAAAATGAAAATAATGCGGATTAGTTATGTTAAGATTAAAGTGAAAGTAAAAATAATTTTGTTACATTATGCATGCTCATATTGTAACCACTTAATGTTATTTTCCCTGATTTATTATTACTCCTAAAAATGTCACTTACCTGGTTCTTCTAGTAAACATTTCATTTGTGTCGGTACATGTCTATTAATTTTGTGCAAGATTTCGCAATGTTGTTCAGTACTGATTAATTAATTTTTTTTTATTCCCCCAGTACGAAGAACAGGTATTCAGCTAGTTTTGCAACTCTAGTTTCTAAATCAAAAATGTAAGTGTAAATACTTCCTACATGAGAGTCATAAATTAAATCCATTAAAATATTAAAAGTAAATAAAATGAATTAATCTTTCGAACAAGGTTTCTCAGATAAAGATGTTGACATTGTCATAAGCTTGTAAAATAATACTTTTGTTTAAAAAATTAAATCAGTGAGAAATTACTATTGATAAAAAAAATTAACCTGCAAAATCTTTCGATTATCTTTTTGGAACTCATTTTGTCTACGAAATTTTCGCTTTCATCATGTGCCACACTCACAATAGAATTTAAGAGACATTCATCGTATTCTTCAGTTTGATTACTCATACATGGACCATGAAGCAGATAATCTAAAAAAGAATAGAAAGTTATTTATGACATCATCAACATATGCGCGAAACGTAAATATTTTGTTTAAAAACACTATTACAACTATAATAGAAGTTTAACGTAACGAGTATTACGAGAATTATATATTGCAAAAATATATTTTCGTAATATATTAAGCATATATTACGAGAATATTCTGCTATTTTCACAAGTTTCAAGATGCTGATATTAAAGATATGAAAAGTGTATCTTTACCCCTAGTTGAGAATTAATTAGCGTCCTCTATTTTGTCATTTTTATTTTGAGAGAGTAATAGAGAGAAATGTATTTTTCTACTGCTTATGTGAGCAATTTATGAAAAAAAGAGCAAAATGAAAGGCTTTTTTTTTATTTATTTCTGGTATTAATGTAGAAAAAATAAAAAATTAGCATTATTTCACCTTATTTGCTTTTTATAAACTTAAACCTTAATGTTTATAAAGCAAACTTTATGTTATAAATATTAAGAGTTATGTTGGTTACCCTCTATGTATGTGTTTATAAAGGGTTACTATCGACCAAATTATTTTTTTTCCGATTAAAAAGTGGTGGTAAAGTAACCATGTAATTTTTTTTTTTTTGTCGTATGCCTGTTTAGACAGTGGGAGAGAGATTGTTCCTGTTTTTCAGTGGCGCCATCTATGGCCAGGAATTCAACTTCTGCCACGCCATTCACACAACCACAACCCGTTTATAGGACGGGTCACATTCACGCACAAAGGAGAAAGGACATAGAACACACAGAGAGCGAAAGAAAGATCCCCTGATTCGAACCCAGGACCTTTCTGATTCAAGGACAGTTCCTACCCCCTACACAGGCCGGTCGGCAACCATGCTATACTCCAGCAATTAAAACAAAATTCGAAATTTTTAAACGTGAAAAAATAAACCTTCAAAACGTGATATAATGTAGAAATATGGAAATCCTACATCAACGTTCCTAACGATTAGTTAAGAACGTTGATCTTAAGAACAAAAATAAAATTAATGAGACAACATTAGAAAAATATTCGTTATAATTACTGTTATTTTCACAATAACTTAATGTATCGTTTATAACGACAAGCTTGCTACAGTAACAATTCCATCAGATATTAAGACTTGTCGTAATAAAGAATTTTCCTTCGATATTCAGAGTGATTTATCATTAAATTTATTCGTTACAATTTATTATTAATAACACTAAATAAATTTATCATTTAATTATATGCAAAGCAATTCCTGTTTTAATCATATTAAATTTCAATTATTATTTCATAACTTTTAAGGTGATTAGTATTTCATAGTATTGAATTTAATTGGCTATTTAACTACATTCTAAGATGCTCAATATTTATTAATGTTTAAAGTGATTTTTTATAAAATAAATATTCAAGATAATTTGTTATTTAACAACCAATGCAAAGTATTATTTAACAAAAAATCAATTTAATTTAATACTTAATAATAGTCAATGCAATTTCTCTTTAATATTTTTCGTAATTTATCATTTAATAACAGTCAATTTCAAGTAATTATTTCAAATAATTCGAAATAATCAATGTAATATATCATTTAATAAGGATAAATATAATTTATTTTTAATAATATTTAGTTTTATTATTTTTTTGGGGGGGGAAATTAATAGTTATATGTAAAAATTTAGTCGAAAATGTTTTATACAAGTCAAAAGAAACGGAAATAATTTATTTAAGAAATATTATTAAAATTAATTTAAAGTTTGTTATTAAGTTTAAAACGAAAATTTTACCAAAATGTGTGTATTAAAGTATTTCTTAAACTATAAACTATAAATAACTAAACTATAAATAAACTATCAAATATAAAAAATGTGCTGGTGGTTCTGATTTCATTCAGAAATCATCAATATGCAGTTTTTGATTTTAACTTTCCATAACTTTTCTAAAACGTAACTTATTCTGAATTTTTTACACGAGTTTAACATTAGCACAAACATTATTTATATACTCTAGGCAGCAACGCTCCTGCTCACTAACGCTCACCAATCCCGGATGACTGTTTCGCAATAATTCTTTTCCTTGACAGAAAACAGTTTCTTCTACGATAGCTTTAATAATTACTTAAAGAATACGTACCAAAGAAAATTCTATTTTCCCCCACTATCAAAACATTTCCCCGATGATTTTAGTAAAATCTATTATAAAGTATAAATAATTTTGCTTGGTAATCATTTTTTAAAATAACATTTAAAATAATAGGTATATTATTATTACAAATTTGGAGAGTGTACTACCGTAATTTAATATTTTCGTTCACTAAGGAGGCTGATATATTTAATACAATTTGTGCATGAAGCTGATCGTTAAATTCTGAATCATTTAATTTAAATTAGCATATTAATGTGATTTACGCCAAAAAATAATAATTATAAATCGGTCAATAAATTTAGATTCCGATTTAAATAAATTACCTTAAAATGTAGCGTATTAAAATGTATCATAAAATTACATTATAAAAAATAAACAACTTTTTAGTTTTAAACTCTAAATTTAGAAAACAATCAAATTCAAAAGCGTAATGATAGCAAATTAGAATAAGAAAAATAATTATTACTGGTGTGAAAACTGTATCTCGCCAGGAATCCCGCCATAATTAAAAGGAATGTACTGACTGCAATGGGAAACTATGTTAAACCATTCTGTTTATGTGTTATATAGAGATTTATAGCTCGTATTTGAAAAGGTTCGTTAAAGTAACGATAATTTCTGATTTAATAACATTCGAATCTCTGATTGGCTGGTTGATGTTTCTGAAGAGTCAAACCTTCGTATTGTCAACAATTTCATTAGATCTTGTGACGCCATCATCGCATTTTTATAGTTAGAATACATGTTTATATTAAATGATGTAAAGAACTTTCATGATTAAATTCTTCTTGGGGATAAAATTTGAATAAAAAAAGGGATTGCCCCATTTGCACGCATGATAAAGCTGATAAAAATCATGTTAAAGACTTGAAATAATTTTTAATATGCAGTCAAATATGTTCTTTTTTAAACAATACTAGCTCAAAGAAATTGAAAGAAAAAGTATTTTTCAAATTAGAAAAAATTTAATTGTTTCGATTTCTATACAAAATTTATTTAGGTTGGTTGATGTTTCTGAAAAGACAAACTTTCGTATCGTCAAAAATTTCATTAGATCTTGAGACGCCATCATTGCATTTTTATATTTAGCATACATATTTAAGTTAAATGAAGCAAAGAGCTTTCATAACTAAATTTTTCTTGGGGCTAAAATTTAAATTAAACAAGAGATATAATCACATTTTGCACGCATGATAAAGCTGATAAAAATCATGTTAAAGACTTGAAATAATTTTTAATATGCAATCAAATATGTTCTTTTTTAAACAATACTAACTCAAAGAAATTGAAAGAAAAAAGTTTTTTTCAAATTAGAAAAAATTCAATTGTTTGGATTTCTGTAAAAAATTTATTTCGACCAAAAAATAAATAAAATATTTATCAACGTGATTCAAATGCTAGAATGAATTTAAGTAGCATGCTAAACTCGAACCAATAACCAAGTTTTAACTTAGAGGGTTAAATAGAAGTCGAGAAAAGAATTCAAATTGAGAAAAATTGATTGAAAAAAAGATTGAAAGACAAAACTTTGAATAAATGAATTTAAACAAAACACGTGAGTTTGTAGACGATGTCGTTTAAGAAAATGGGAGCAATATTTTTTTTCTTCCAGTTAGTGGGTTTTAGTATTTTAATTTAAATTTGGAAGTTGTTTGAGTATTATTCTATACTTTGAGTCAAACTATATATCAAGTACAGAAAAGGTCATAAAGTAATTTTTTTTCAAAAAATCAACAACTTTTTATTTAAACTCTATAAACCAAAGATGGGCCAACTGGTTCTTGGCGGAGGGCTTTATCCTGCCAGCGGATAGAATTTTAACTTGCAGGTTCATGGCGAATATAAACAATATACATTATACATCCATTTTCTTGTCTACTTTGTTTAAAGCTATTTTTGTTCTTTCTTCTTTAACGACCTGCTGATGATCTTCTTACTTTCTCTATTTTTGTTCTATAAAACATAAATTGATGGAAATAGCCAGCACAGACAGCTTCAATTGGTAAAATGTTGAAAGCAGAAGTTCTTTATAGAATAGCCGTAGATTGGCGCCGACGAGCACTTGTCTTTCTCGAGGAATAAGGAATCTAATATATGTGAATTGTACTTCACATGTGGCAGGCTGCGTATTGCCACTTTTTATTTCATGAAATAAAACAATCTTAACTTTAGGAGTCGCAAATTAATATTTAAGGGGGGGGGGAGTAAACGCTATCTATATCTAACAATTTACTACTAAGGGAAGCGAGACTAAAAACATCAAAACCTGTTTAATTGTTAAAGGAAACAAAGAAGAGCAGTATTGAAATCTGACAGTCAACCCGGTTTTAACATCATTCTCCCTGCTTTCCTCATTAGTGCTTCGTCAGAATTTGATATTGGTTTTGTTTCTTCCTTGTTTCAATATTAATTTACAACCTCTTATGTACATATGTACATATTTTTATTTATTTATTTATTTAAGGTTTCCAAAATATATATTAAAGACGATAGTTTATATATATTCCGTGTATTATACAAATATTCCGTGTATTATACAAATATAATTTAGGTAGTGTTAAAAAGACTGGGAATTACCCGGTTTAAGACGGAGAAGTTTAAATATGGAAATAAGTAAGATAGGCAATAGGTAAGATGAATTCCATCCAAAACACGATAATTTTGCTTTGTTTTTACTAGTGAGGCAAAATACAGTGTTTAAGCACTCATTATGTAAAGGGCAGGGATTAGAGAACAGTTTACAGGATATTTAATGCTTACTAACCTCTTCGTAAACTAGATGTTTCATTACACATGTCAGTAAATACTCCTTTGATGCCATTGGTCATCGTTACATAAGAAGAATGCGACTGTTCTTGGCATGATAATAAAAAGTTGCTTTTGCACTCGATGTCCATAATTATGTCCCTATCAAAATTAAACACATGTTAAACAAATGTCAAAAAGAGTCATTTGAAATACAATATCTCTACTGACCTGCAGTGCTTAATCAGCATCTCATCCTTTAGAATTGAAAAACTGCTTTCACTGAAAATCTCGTAAATGTCTTTATTTGGGCAAACAATATGAATATCTTCACTACAAATTACTTCAGCAGAATTTATCTGAAAAACTGATAGAGATAAAAATTAATCATTGTAAATATAATAAAAATCAATATTAATAAAAACAAATCGTAAATTATTCAAAATAAAACTTATTCAAAATAAAAACTATTTGAACTAAAAAATGATTTTTTTTTCCTCTTTAATATTTCTTTTTCTTTTAACTGTTTATTTCCAGCATTTATTTCTTCATATTTTCTTCTCAGTTGCACCAAAGAAATATAATCCCAATTACGAAAATTGAATTTAAAAATGAAAATAGTCCGTTAAGTTTAATTTTTTTAATTTTGTAAGTTAAGATTTCTTTTAATCTATTACATCATACTAAAATTTTATCGAACAGTGAAAAAAAAACGAAAAGTAATCTAGAATGTTTATAAATATGTTGTATTATGCAACTAGTTTGATGAGCATTGATAACATACATTTATACTTAGTTCATGACCTTTTATTCACAGAATTTTAACAAAACCTAATTTCAATAAAACCGTAAATCCATATCAAGATTCAGTATTTCCAAGATTAATATTTTTTTAATAATCTGAAATTGTGCGATGTGAAATAATATGAATTTTATTAACACTCATTATATCGCATATATTCTTTTTATCTGTATTTTTCATAGGACTGAGAGTTTTCCTTATTGCAAGAGACTTATTTAAGAGATTAATTAAGAGATTAAGATTTATTATTACGAGGGTTGCTATTTATATTTCTGGCCTCGGCAACAGTAAGTGTTGCTAGGCGACCGCAGACGATTTTAATCGAAAGTTTGATATTTTTAAACATAAATTCATCAGACGATTTACCATTATAGCTTCATTTGTGTTGTTGACAGTAAATTGAAAAGTTCTTCTCTTTCAAAAAATGGAACTGAATCGTGAACATTTTCGTGCCATTATTTTTCATAACTTTCGACGTGGATTGTCAAGACAAGAGTGCTTCGATGAACTCAATTCTT